CTCGGCTGCCCCCCGTGGTGCCTCCTCCCCCTCCCCCCCCGCAGCCCCCCCCCCCCATTCCTCGCTCGGCCGCGAACTCTCACGGGGCTTAACCCCTTCAGTGCTGCAGAGGGAAAGCCCCCCACACACACACCAGGAGGAGCCTCTTTGCCCGGGCTGCCCTCCTCCGCTGCGCCCTAGAATGTGCAGCTCCCAATGGGGAGGAGGAGGAGGAGGATGCGGCGCGTCTGGGCAAGAGGAGGCTGGAGGTGGCGCCCCGCCCCTTTCTCCGCCCCCCTGGCGCCAGGGGGGGAGGACCCACGTCGGAGGAGGCCCCTCCTGGGTGAGACGTCTGCCGTGGCGGCAACATTTGCATATCAGCCTCCATTACCCTAACTCTAACCCTAACCCTAACCCACTTTTCTTAATCCTGCTGTATACCTTCCCCCTTTCTGAAAATTTTAAAGCAATAAAATTCTCTCCTTTTTAGGATAGTTTTAGGATATATATAACATCCTTCCTCAAATGTGGTGCCCAAAACTGGACATGGTACTCCAGGTGAGGCCTGACCATAGCAGAATAGAGCGGAAGGACCACCTCCCATGATTTGGACACGATGGTTCTGTTCATGCATCCTAGGATTGCATTCGCTTTCTTCGCAGCCACATCGCTCTGCAGACTCATGTTTAGCTTGTGATCAACCAGAACAGTTAAGATAATCCAGGTGATGTGGTCATTATCTAACCAGAACAGTTACCATAGTTTTCTGCCAAAAAGGATAATCCCATAGTCATTCTCCACCACTCATTGCATTATCTCCACAGACTTGGAAAAGACTTTGTTGATTATAAAAGCAATGGTCAGACCATCGTCTCTAAAGGCCAATATTGTCTACTCAGACTGGCAGCTGCTCTCCAGGGTCTCACACCACCTCCCACCGGGAGATGCTTAGAGACGAGGTCAGAATCAGGGACATTCTGGCCACTGGTCCACCTCGGAGCCCTTGAGATCTCAGGCGTGGCACAGTGAGGCCCTCAACGTTATTCAGGACCGGAATCGCCCTGGAGAGAGCAAAACGGCCCCAAACCTCCAAGCCTGGGGCCTGCAAAGGCTCCAGAAGTAATACTGATAGGATTTAGGCCACAGTCCTAGATAATTTACGATAATTCACGATATTAAGCAATATATTAAGCATATACTAAGCAAACCTCTTTGGGACTGCATAGCACAAGCGAATGAGCATCGATGTCTCATTCCTAGATCACACTCAGCTCCGGCTTGAGCCGACCTTCTCTTCAAAACAGAGTCACACGTGCAGAAGACCTTCACTCGAGGCAGTAGTCAGTGGGTAAGTGACGCTTAATATATGTCTTTAAAGAATCATAGAAAAGTAAACAAAAATAATATACATAATCATAGAAAAATATATTGACGGTGATCTCCGGAATGTCTTGCCGTTTCGAAGGAAGATCTTCTTCTGAACAAAGATGTGGGACAAAAAATGTCTCTCAGAGATTCATATCCTCTGGTGACATCTCACAATTATCAATTATCAAGGATGCATTACAATCATCTTAGCCCATGGCAGGTTCTACTACACATTACAGCTGTTATGAACATTGAAAATCTTCCTTGATAATTGTGAGACCATGCGGGGTCGGGGTCGGGGTGGGGGTACGCTACCAGCTCACAGGGACACACGCGAAGTGGACTTCTGCTGAATCAGACACCCCCCCCCCGCCACCCAGGTCAGTCTTGCCTACTCAGACTGGCTTCCGCTCTCCAGGGTGTCTCCGGTTGAGAAGGGTCTTGTGCATCACCTCCTGCCTGGCCCTGATAGATGGGGATGCCAGGGACTGAACCGGGGGGGGGGGTCTTCTGCATGCCCAGCAGAAGCTCTTCTACTGAGCCATGCCCCCCCCAATGAACCATGGCCTACTCCCCTCCCCTCCCCTCCCCTCTGGATCAGTTTGTTGATGACAGGTAGATGAGTTGTGTTTGACGGTAGTTATGCAGTCACGGTTTCCTCACAGCGTAAGCGGCTCTGAGTCCACAGGTACCCAAATAAATAAATAAAGAGTCAGGGCACAGCCTAAATAAAAAAGGCTGCTTTTCAGTGCGCTCTGTCCACAGGTTCTTCTGTGAGCCATCCCTCGATCAACAGCAATGCGTGGGGTCGCTGTTACCAGGCTGCAGCTGGGGCATTTCCCACCGTCCCGATCTTGCGCTTGCTCTCCTCAAATTCAGTCCAATGCATCATTTCCATGGAAATGATAAACCTGCAAGGGGGGGGGGAGAATCGCATGACTGCACGACCCTCCGAGTGAAAAAAAAAGTCCCTGCGTAGAGACACCAGGGGTGGCTACAACGCTCCTCCCCGCCACGCAAGTTTCCTGTGGTCGAATCTGCATTTGTCTTTTCCACCGGTGTCTCAGTCTTCTGAGTCCATCTTCAAAAAACCTGTCTACATTTGGTTTCGTTTTCACACCTCAACAGAGCTAGCATCCTGTTGCATGTCTGCATATGTTTATCGCCCTCTCGTGGCGGCTCCACTGTCATTGCGCCTCCTCACTGGTTTAAATGAATCTTCTCCAAAGAACGGTCAGACAAGCATAGGG